TAGATTTCGCGTGCTCTGCACTTCGCATGCGAGAAGTCGCGCACAGCCAAGGTGAGGTTGGTCGCGTGTGTGCAGCAGGATCCCACGTGACTGCGGAGTTGCCCCCTTGCTCGAACCCAGACAATAATAAGGGGATCGGTCTATTAGTCATGGACCACGAGTTGAGTGAAATAATTTATTAAAACGTTCCTCTTGTATTATTTTTTATTTATTTTATTTTAAATAATCGACGTGGAGACAACAATTTTATAATAGCAATAAAGAGAACAATTCTGCTGTCATCGCCAAACTACAACGAAGGCATAAAAGTTTACCAAAAATTAATTTTCTTGTCACATTCATCAGTGGAAAGTCGTGACTGAAGAGTAACCATGCTGAACAATGATTAAAAATACATTCAATAATGTGTTACGAAAACAAAATAAAGTGCTTAAATAGAATGAGGGAGGGTGAGACAATAGAAGTGAAGTGAGAGCCAAGTGCAACGGCGGGTGAGAAACTAATTATAAAGCTAAAACTGTGTAGTGAGGCAAGCAATCATGCTGTGCACCTACGAAAACAATCTTAACGCAACTACACGTTTTTCTGCTTACAAAAAGGAGGCTTAAGCAAACGAATACAAACAGCCTCAAATACTTTCAGCTGACTACGGATATGCACTTCCAGGTCAGAGACACTGTTATCTAGCCAGGTCTTGGATACGGCTAGTATATCCAGCTGCTGTTCTATCATTATACTTTCAACTTCACACAGTTTGTGGCGTAGACTGCGTAATAATTATGCTATTTTGATGTGGCTAATGTTAAGTGTACTACTGTGCTGGTCCAGGTGGTGGGTGTGTGGGTGAAACGGGGCGGCGTGTGGATTAAGCTTCATGCTGATCCGATGGGTGTGTTGAGCATGCGGGTTCAAGGGGAGTGGGTCGGTGGTTTGAGCCATTATGCTTTAACGGGTTTGGGAACCCAGGCCTCTGTACCAAATCGCCACTCTCTTACAGTACGGCCAACTTCGTCAGGCCAGAACGATTCTTCCGCGACCTTCTTGGCGTCCGTGACCAAGACTGTAATACGAGCAGAGGCTGTTCTAAAGTGCACGGAGGTGTACACGATGCTTTGTACTACAGATACACCTTGTGCCTTGCAGTGTTCAACTTTTGAATCCACATCGCAGTCCGGGTGAACATTTCCAATGCAGTACACCGTCATGCGAGGTCGTCCTACGAGTCCAGGTGCACTCTTGGGTGTTTTCGGTGCTGTGTACCGCGATGTCTCCTCCCCATGGTGGTTTGGCTTTTGCGTACGTTTGTCATGGCCAGGTGCATGCGGCCTTGGTGGCGGCCTTGCGGAGTCTACACACAAATTTTCTACAATGTGCTCTGCAGCTGGGCCTTGTGTTTGTACCGGTGCATGTGACAGGTCTGGGGTAGCGTCGGTACTCGTACTAATAGGCCTTTCACACGACGGGAAAAAGTCATGTCTGTTCGGGCTCGCGGGCGGATCACCAAGGCGATCATCAAATGGCGGGAAATCTGAATCCGTAGACCCGACGGTCTGCCCGTGACACCCTGACCCCTTGGCTGTGCGTTTTCGTTTTCGATTTCGTGTTTCCTGCACTGGTTTGGCTTGTGTTCGCGATCGCGTCTTCTCACTGAGCGTTTCCTGAACAGCAGCACAGGTCCGACTTTCTGAACAATGGCCACCCGGACATTCAGCCCAGAATCCGAAAGGATGCTTATCGAAATCTACTGCTCCCTACTTGAATCGACTCATAAAATGATGATGACGCGAGCAGCGAAAGAAGACAAGGCAACAAAACGGCTGAACGGCCACAAGGGATTTGGGAAGTCGAACGAGGCACTCCAAACCCTGTAGGTTGTGAGCCGATTGCCCTGTCCGGACCCAGTTGCCCAAGGCCACGGAAAAAAAACAGCAAAAATAGAGCAAAGCTACGCGGATTTGTCAAATCCATGGTCCCAGAAATCCAGTCAAGAACGCCAAAGCAACAAAGTCGTCTTTTCAGTCTTGTTCTACTCCAACATCAGGCAAAGAGAGTTTGAAATTTCCCGGAAGGCATGAAAATAAAAAATATTTTGATTTATTTCCATCAAAACACGTGCCTCCATTACAATTACCTAGGCAACAGTCACACTCACGTGCGCCGTGTCGGCAGAGCTAGTCGTCGTGTGAAGTGTCTTGCCGTGGATCGTAGAACCATGGTATCGTGAAATTGTGAGCATGAACCGTCGTGTGACAAGGCTATAAAGTGCACGGGGAGAGTACTACTTGTAGTAGTTCTGAGATGAGTTGTATCCCCAGGGTCAGCGTGGACGTGGGTCAAACGGGATTGGTGATCTTCTTCAGCATGCAGTTCACGTCGGAGCTTTGCACGTCGTCCTTCAACGCCTGAATTTTCCCTGTCGGAATCTCTCAGCTGTACATTCACATCTTTCATTGTCTTTAGCTCTGATTTCAGTTCCCTTGCTACCCCGGTGAGTTCGGAGAGTGCGGCGCAAAGGCTAGCTACATCAGGGTTAGCATGACTTACGGGAGCCGAGTCCTTAGATCCTCTCAGTAGGGCAATCAGCATTGGCCTGTTCGCCTCTCTGGGGAACTCCAGTCCCAGTCGCTGGATGAGCTCCTTGAGCTCGTCATCAGTAAGCACGGCGATGTCCGTATTGGGGTCGAGTTGCCGCGCCATTATAATTATCACTATTTTACTGGTGGTCCATGGGCCTAGTGCCCCAGGAAACTGGAAAAAGGAGTAAAGGTCAGGAGCTCGCAAATTTGCATCCACCCCTGACAGGTAAAAATTGTAATCAGGCTAGTCATGGCAACGGAAGGTAAAATTATGGAGATCGATCCGTGCATGGTTTGATCGTGAGCAGGGTACGAAAAAAGCACACATTCAAACTGTGCAACAGAAGCAGAAGAGGAAATCGAAAATGAACACTGTCGTTCAGTGAAGTGCTTCTGTCCAAGGGTGCTCGCACCCGACGGGGTTACAGCGCCCCTAGTCAGACAATACAAGGCAAACGAAATAGAAATTAGCTGAGTCACAGCGCGGGACTCCGAAACGAAAGCCCGTATGTAAATATTAATTGTTCGTACCTGCTGTACAACGTAACAATTGCTGAAATTCATAACGCAATTTCAAACTAGTACTCGTAGAACTGTAGTTCGAATGTGCCACTCAATTATAGTAACAACGACAAAGAGATACTCTTCTAAACATTTCTCTCCCTTAACACTGTGCCGAAATTCACAGCGACCAAAATAATACGAAAATTGACTATTGTTCTGAAATAGGCAAACAAGGAGCTACTCACAGAACAGCTTGCAAAGAAGCACGATTGGGCGGGTGTAGGTCTTGTCGCCCACCTTGACATTCACAACTCGCATGTGTCCGTCTGGACCAGGGTGCACTTCGGTGACACGACCCATTGGCCAAGTGCCCCGTGGTTGTCTTGGGATATCACTAGAACGATGTCGTCGACCTTGAGGTCAGTCTCGGCCGTCCTCCACTTGAGTCGCCGGTTCAGCTCTGGCACGACTTCCTGCATCCATCTCCGCCAAAAGCGCAGCACGATTTCTTGCACTACACGCCAGCGTTGCCGAGGGTTGAACTCGCTCTCGTCCACTCCTGCAGGTGCAAACCGAGTGCCGACCCGGCCAAACAGGAAATGGTTGGGCATTAGTGGAGTCGGGTCACGACCATCTGCCGACATGTAGGACAGGGGCCGTGAGTTCATGAGCGCCTCTGCGCCGAGGATAGCAGACAATGGCTCCTCGTCTGTGACCTCCGCGTTCTTCAGAATCGCCGAGATAGCACGCTTTGCCGATTTTACTAACGCCTCATGCACTCCGCCGAAATGTGGTGCTGCTGGAGGGTTGAAACGCCAGCTAGTCTGCGGATCCGCTGTCTGCCGCTGAATCGCCTCTGCATCAAGCTGCTTGACTAGCTGAGCAAGCTCATTGGTGAAGCCGACGAAATTCGTGCCATTGTCGGAGATGACGTCGATCGGTACTCCCCGTTGATTGGTGAAGCGTACGTACCGTACAGCTGCAGGAACAAGTCCGTTGTCAACGCGAATGACAGCTCAAGATGTACTGCTCTCGTCTGCAAGCAGGTGAACAAGCACAGATACCGCTTGTGTTGTGTCTTGCCGCGACCCTGCTTCGTCATAAACGGTCCGGCGTGGTCTACAGAGACTCGGCCGAATGTGCATAGCGCACTAAGGTAGTGGCGCCATCACATGCATTGCCGGCTTCGTACAGTTCCGGGCGCACCTCGCACACTGGGCTTCCCAAGCTCGCACCTCTTCGCGGCCAGCGATGATCCAGTAGCGCGATGAGAGTTCGCCTAGCGTGTGGCTGACACCGAACGCGTGATATCCTCGTTTGTGACATGCCTTGACAATCAGCTGTGTCACATGATCTCCTCGTGGTAGGACGATCGGATTGCGTTGTTCTGCAGTCAAGAAGTCAGCATGCTGTAGTCGACCTCCAACGCGTAGAAGGCCAGCGTCGTCAATCATTGGCTTGAGCGAGACCAGCTTGCTGGTTGCAGGGATCGGCTTGCCTGCCTTAACTGCAGCGTACTCTGGTAGTGACTGTTGCTATTTTCTGGATTGGATTGGATTGGATTTTTATTTATAGTGGTGACTATAACAGACAATTGCCTAATAACAATAGACCCACTATGCTCGCTTTATGTAGAACTCATCAGAATCCAGGATTGCCTGTGGCGATAATTCGTCAAACTCTCGCTTTGCGGGTGGTACCGAGCAATTCGTAGCGAATCGCAAACACCAAGCATGAATACAGCACAATCCTACCCAGTCGGAGTAGCGGCTTGGCTCTAGACGATTCAGCTCGCTGTGGCATTGGTCTACGGTCACCGCAGTCAGCTCGATGGACTCATCCGTTGGTTGGTTGACTTTCTTCAACTCCAGAGTTGACAAACGGGGCTTCAGTTCCGGCTGAACTAGCCATTCACTTTCAGCGGCACCCAAGAAGCCGGGACCGTTCCACCATAAACTGCTTCCCGCCATTGCTTGCACTGACATTCCTCGAGAGACCAGGTCGGCTGGATTGAGCGCGGTGGGCACATACCGCCCCTGGGTAGGATTGGTTTTCCGTTGAATCTCGCCCACTCGCCTAGCCACAAACTGTTTGAAGATGCGGCTGTAATTGGTGATCCAGTGCAGAACGTTGCTGCTGTCCGACCATAGCGTCGTTGCTCGGGGGTCGAGGTTCAGTGACTCGGCGGATGATGTGGCGAGCGTTGCTCCGGTTGTCGCCCCCATTAGCTCAAGCCGCGGAACGCTGACAGCAGCCACTGGTGCCTCACGGACCTTGCTTGCGACGAACCGTGCTGTTGGTTCTCCAGTGTCATAGTGACTGACAAGACACGCAACTGCTCCGTATGCGACCTCGGACGCATCTGAGAACACGTGAAGCTGGCTGCTGATTGCTGTGCACGCCGTGGCCGTCAGGCAGTGTGGTACACGTACTGTTGATAGCTCCGTCACCTGCTCAAGCCACCGGAGAACCTTCTTGACGATTTCTGGGGGCAGTCGCTCATCCCATGCTGCTCCACAAAGCCACATTTCTTGCAGCAGGATCTTTGCTTGCACGAGGTACGGTGCGAGGAGTCCGAGTGGATCAAATATATTTGCTTTTGCACTGAGAAACGCGCGCTTTGTTGGATTAGAGCCGATCTCCGATAGCTGCAGTTCGAATGTGAACTGGTCCTCTTTCGCAAGCCAGAGGATTCCCAGTGTCTTGACATTCGGCAGCTCTCCCTTCGTGAGGTTGATCTCCTTAGCGCGATCCTCCTCCGGGATGGTCTTCTGTATTGCCGTGGAGTTGCTCAGCCATTTGCATGGGTGCATACTGGCTTTGTGCAACAACGCCAACAGCTGCCTTACGAGCTCAACGCCTTCCTCATCGCTTCGAACAGAGTCCATGGAGTCACCCATGTACGTTCACTCAAGGACCGCTTCCGCTGCACGAGGATAGGTGTCGGCTTGCTGATGGGCATTGTGCCTTGCCACGTGTACTGCGCTAGGAAAGGCGACGCTGTCACACCGAAGACCACCCGGTTGAACTCAAATGTGGCCGGTTCCTGCTCGTTATCCCGCCACAGAAAGCGATGGAAGGGCCTGTCCTCCGGAGCCAGAGATATCTGGAGATACATCTCATGGATGTCGCAGATGATGGCGGCCTTGTTCTGCCGGAAGCACAGGAGTACCTTTGGCAGCGATTGCTGCAGCTGGGGACCAGCACTGATATCATCGTTCAGCGCTATACCATTGCTGATGCCAGCTGCGTCGAAAACCACACGTGTCTTCGTGGTGGCCTAATCTTCACGGATGGTGGCGAAGTGTGGATGGTACCATTCGTTTACAGAACCTCCACACTCTTTGTCAGGCACTCGTCGAATGTACCCGTTGGCTAGGTACTTGCGGATGACATCACTGTACGCTGTTGCTGCTGCTGAGTCACATCAGGGCCGCTTTTCCAAGCTGTGCAGATGGCCGAGTGCCTTCGCTCGGCTTTCAGGCATGACTGGACGTTCGGATTTCCAGGGTATGCCAACTGAGACGGGTTTATTGTCCAGAATCCAACTGACTACAAATCACTACTGAGGCTTAACTATATATGGCCAAGGTGTGAGAGTAGCCAGCAATAGGCGCCAAGCGTTGCAGGCAGCACAAGCGCAGATATGACGTGTGGTATGGTATGGTGAGTGTGTAGTATGGTAAGTGTGGCGGCAGCGCAAGTGCTCCCTATGGAAGTGTCAACACCTAACAAGGCCGTGTGAAGGTAGCACCAAATGGAAGGTGTGATCGTCACGGTCCAGCTCTCACACTCCCCCACCCAAACTCAACTAAATAGTCAAATAAAACTCGAAATAGATGCATGTATAACCAATGCAAAAGTATCACGTGAATGATGAACTTCGTTATACCCAAAATAATGCATCCATGATTTCCATGCCCATATCTCATTTGTAGACTTTGCACAAAGTCACACATCTTCACTGCTGTCATCAGTTTCCGACAAATCTGCATCCGCTCCACTGCTGGCTGAGCTAAACCGATACCGCCGCTGTTTCGGGTCCACTTTTTAAGGAATTTCGTCGGCCGCTTAACCCGTGTACTCTTTCGTACCGGAGTCCCTTCCTCGATTGCCTTGCCCGTAGTGCCATCGGTTACCAGGGTTTGGTCACTTGGAGACTCGCCTTGTTCCCAGCTCAACCGTTGAGCTGGTGCTGCCTCCAGCTCATTGTAATGGCGTTGAAGGCAGTGGTGGCGAGAACTAGACCCACACGGTTTTGAGGAGGTACGTATTGTTGTTTCTCTCAACTACGGTATACAACTCAGATTTGTGGGCTTCCCCAATTTTTGTTGAGCAGGCTGAAGCTTTATTCAGACCTGTTGACCCACCTCATAACCACAGTTAGCCTTGCCGCCAACTCGCTTCCGTCTTTCCTCTTGAGCACTCCTTATTCGAACTTTCACTTGCCGAAACACGCTGTCCATGCGTTCTACTGTCCGCAGAGGCCTCACTCCTGCAGGCTGAGGCACTGCGAACTTCTCTGGCCTGTTCGGATGCTGGTGAAATAACAGCTCATATGGAGAGTGTCCAGAAGTAGCATTTCTCGACGTATTAAGGGCATATTGCACCGCAAGAACTGCTTCAGGCCGTACCGCTGTGTTGTCCTAACACACACACCGCACATTATCGATGAGTTGATTTTGGCGCTCCACCGGACCGTTTAACTGGGCGTGGTTGGGACTGCTGAGTGCTTGCCGCATGCCAATTGCTGTACACATTTCGCGGAAGACAGCTCCAGTGAAATGCGAGCCACGGTCACTCTGCACAGTTTCTGGGATATCGAAAACCGTTACCCAGCGCTCCAACAAGACCATGGCGGCCGTCTCCGCCGTGCAGTCCACCGTTGGAATCAACATCGCATAGCGGGTCAGCACGTCCTGAATTTCCAGGATATACCGAAACTTCTCTGGTACAGATGGTTGGAAGGGGCCAACAAAATCGATCTGAATCCGAGACAATGGCGTCTTCGGAATATCCGTCGTCTCTAGCTGCATCTTGTCTGGTTGCTTGGGGCGCTTGTGACGCTGGCACGCCTCACATCCTTGTACGTATGTCGCCACATCCTTGGACATAAACGGCCACCATACAATATCTCGTATGCGATCGTTTGTTCTGTTTCTTCCCATGTGACCACTCAGTGGTGCATCGTGCACCAATTCCAAAAACCTCCTGCGCCGAGACTGCGGTAGAACCACTACCATCATCTTTCTGCGACCTAGCGGCTCCTGTTGTGTCGATCTCCCTTTTGATTCTGTGTAGCGCAAGATTCCGTCATTGCCAATACTCAGTCGCGACCTTTTCCTCAGTACACACTTGGCTTCTTCCTCGAGCACCCCTACCGAGCCCGGCGCTTTCAGCTCTTTCATCATTGGGCCCAGTGCCGGGCACTTGAGCTGTTCTTCGACTATTTCCTGGGTCGAGAACAGCGGCGTCAGTTGGTGGATACCGTCCTGCCTTCTGTCTTCCTGTTGCATGCTGAGACACTGCATCACTTTTGGCAGGTTGCAGTGGCCAATTCTCGACAGGAAGTCCGCCATGCTCAATTCGGGTGATGTGCTGGGGCGGTGAACCGGCTTCATTTTGAACCGCTGCAGATAGTCTAGCCATCGTGCCCTCCGGCCATGGATCTCATCCATGGACAAGCTGTTGTTTCACTTAAGAGCTGCATGATCCGTGATTAGGTCGAATGGCTGGCTGGCCAGGTAGACCCGGAACTTCTTTATTGCTAAAACCACTGTGGGCAGCTCCCGGTCCGTCACTGGATAGTTCCGCTCTGCCTTTGTTAATGTATGGTGAAAGAATGCTACCGGCGCTAACTGCGACCACCTCGTTGCTGTGCTAGCATTGCGCCCGTTCCGACGTCCGATGCATCTGTGACCAGAACGAATGGCCTGTTCATGTCTGGTAACTGCAGTAATGGGGCTGAGGCAACTTGTTGCTTTAGCATGTCAAACGGTTTGATAGCTTCCTCACTCCATTGTAGAAGCGTGAGCCCTTCATCATTTCGTAAAGTGGTTTAGCAATTGTGGCCATGCCTGGAATCCAGCGCTGAACACTATATATATATGATAAGAAAAAGCACCCATGGCTTTCCGGAGCAGAGTTACTGTTGTCAGTCTTGGTGTGCGGAGCAACGCCTGGACTCTGGCGTATGATATGCGCATTGTACCTGCTGCAATCATGTGTCCCAGGAACTCTACCTCGCGTACTCCAAAACAGCACTTGTCAGGGTTCAACAGCACTCCTGCCGACCTGAGCTTGGTGAGAACCTCGCGCAAACGGCTGCCGTGCTCTTCCCAGTTTCGGCCCCAAACCAGCACATCATCTAGGTAGCAGAGCGCAGCAGTCTAATTCAGTTGGCCCAGTCTGGCCAACATCAGTCTCTGAAATGTGGCTGGAGCTCCCGACAGGCCAAACGGAGTTCCACGACCTGTCCATTCATACTGGCCATCCGGTGTGACGAAGGCAGTTTTTGCCGCATCCTCACCACACATCGGCATTTGGTAGCAGCCAGACTTCAAATCCACCGTGGAAAAGAACTGTGCTTCTGTTAGCTGATCCACCAGGTCATCTATCAAAGGTAGCGGGTGATGTTGGGGGTGGCTTGCTGCGTTTAGCCTCCGATAGTCCATAGCCAATCTCAGTCGTACGTTCTTGCGCCGAGCAGCTACTATCGGCGCAGTCCATGGTAATGTAGATTCTCGAATCAGTCCCTGCTGAATCAGGTATTGGACTTCCTCTCGCACCTCCTTGCGCGTGTCCTGTGCCAATCTGCGCGGTCTTGACCATTGTGGAGCCGAGTCACTCTGGAGGTGTATTATGTGCTGGATTGTCGTTTTTGCTGTTGGGAGCTGATCACCTTCTGCCCAAAACACGTCGCTGTACTCATTGACCAGGTTATGGATTTCCTGCTTCTTGCTGGTATGCAGATTTTCATCCGTTTTGTATCCGGTACACGGCTGTTCGCGCACGGACATTTAACAATATGGCGTCGTTTAGTGCGATTTATGTAACGCGGTACAAACCTCATGAATACGATGGGAGTTTGCGTTTTGGGATGAAACTCAGGTCACTCTCCGTGTGGTTCCACGATTTCGCAAGTCAAACCAGGATTTATTATTTGAAAGCGTTCGAGCGAGATACTCAATATCCAGACAATTTGAGAGAGAAGGAAGGTAAAAGGAACTCCTACCATGGTCAACCAGCATCCTGACCTTTTCGAACCTCTCCAAGCTATCCCTGGTAGTCTGGATATTGACGCACGCACTGATTTTCAGCTTCTCCTCGTCGGGATCATGGGTGCAACTTTCAAATTTGCCGATATGCACTCGAACAAACGCACGATTGGATCTACATCACAATTTCGGGGCTATCTGTGTGCTTGCTGCCTTTTTCAGCAGTACTCCACCTGTCTACTGGGCAGTTTCCACCAGGCCTCGGCCTCCTGGACTCAACAGCGACTCCAGCGCCATGCCATCTGTCCCCTAAATCGCATGAAAAGGTAGCTCAGCATCGCACGCACGGAATCTGAAGTTTGTGCACGGGACGTGATAAAACTTGGTGAAGATAGCCAGAAGATAGTCCTCTACCTGGGAAAACTGAAAGCTAGACCGGGAAAACTTCTGAAAGGGCTTCTTGAGGCAGGCATGTCAACGATGACTCAAGGAACGAGCGAGAAAGAAGGCTTGACTTGTGCAACGCGGAACAAACTGTTCCTGCGAGGAAGTTGGCCATGTGAGGTACCAGCGGAAAGCTAGTTTCAAGAGGAACACGGAATACCTGTTTTCCGGGTAAACCTGGCCTGGTAGCTTTCTAAATCGAGCAAAAACCACAGCGAAATCGGGTGCTGAGAATTTGA